AAATACGAACAGAACTAATAATGAAAACCCGTAAATAAATGGTTTTATTTGTATTTTAGAGTGAGATACAAATGCCAACAATTAAAATAGATTGTTGCTTATTAGGCTAACATTTTCTTCAGCAAAATATGTTTTGTCTGCAAATGTAGTAAGTGTGTAAACAATCTACGATCAGCAAAATTATTCGCGATGTACTTTAGAGAATAAAATAAAATTTGCTACACAATGTAATTAACTTTCAATTACATAGTTCTATCAATTCTCTATTATTTTATGGAGTAAAATATTATTTGCTGAACACGGTGTATTTAATTTTTATTAGATACTAGCTTCTGCCAGCGGCTTCGCCCGCGGTCCCAGGGGTAAAATGCCTATGTATCACTTCAGACCATAATCTACCTCTGTTCCGAATTTCATTCCGGTCCCTTCAGTCGTTTTAATATGACTGAGTAACAAACATACACATAAACTCACATATTTTCATTTATAATATCGAGTCAAGCTAATTTCAACCATTGGCCTTTCAGTTACAGCGTAAAGTCTATGAATGAGTATTGTAAACGTTAGAGTAGACAAATACCTCTACAATCAGAAATCACCGAATTGCTAAGCCATTACTATATATAAAAATGAAACCCGTTTCCCGTTGTCACGCCACAACTTGAGAACGGCTAGACCGATTTGGCTGGTTTTTTTGTTGTTTTTTATCGTCAGGAGAAGGTTCTTATGATAGAAAAAAGTCCGGAACATCCTACGGGAATGGGAGAAACGGGATTACGCACACGAAGTCGCGGGCAGAAGCTAGTCCTTACTAATATTATAAACGGAAAGTGAGTTTGTTTGTTTGTTCCGCTTTCACGCCATAACTACTAAACCGATTGCTTTGAATTTTTGCAGATGTATAGTTAGACGTCCGGATTAAATAATAGGGTACTTTTTATCCCGGAAAAAATTGATATTCCCGAGGGAAAACAAAAGTATTGGTATAGATGGCGCTGTGTGTATTGGTATATGTCACATTTTTATTCTTTTGTGACGCGAGCGAAGCCACGGGTAAAAGCTAGTTAACTATAACTCTACTAGTTTCGAGTCACAGAGGTACCTACTGTTCCTCATAAGCAGTCGAGGTCGTGGCGATGCCGTGAAGCCTACTCAAAGCCAAGTAGTCCTTTTCTCAACTCATTATATTTACGTGAGCAAACCTTTATAGTTAAACCTAATATGTTAACTTTTCGTACAAAAGACGACTTCTTATAAGATACCATACATACATACCAACGGAAGCAAAATCGCGGTCTTAAGTGTGTATCAAATAATGCTGACAAAACCGTCATTCATGAGCCTACACCAATTGACTTCATTATTTAAATTTAATAGCTCTGTCTGTAATTTTGTGAACCTGTAATTTAATTTGATATTTGAAGGAAGAAACGCGGTCACCGGGTATTAAGTATGTATGTACTTATTTACTACTTATTGTCGTTCTACAAACAAATATTGATTGTTGAGACTAGTTGGTTTTAAAATCCATGTTTTTACGGGCATTGATCTTTTCAATTGTGATCTCTAACTTGCTTGCCAACCGTGGTGATATGATAAACCCCTCTTATTTAAAGTAGCAGTGGATTGTGGACTGTCACGGTCTCTTTTATTAGTTTGTTATCGCCTGGGAAACTGTTTTTAGGGGGGGGGGGGGATCATCGAATGACTTATCCCACCTTTGTGAGACGGGAGGGAATGTCAGACTCTTACTGACTAAAATCCACCCCGTTCCTACTCTAGCACCTGGAGCCGGAGCCCTGGTAACCTTTTACGTTCTCCGCGGAAAATAGTTACCTTTTCAAGTCCACAACAGTTTTACAAACCTGAGAACCTCAGATCCCTGGCACGACTGCCGCGTTTGCGACTACTTAACCAACGAAAGAACAAATTATTTATTTATTAAGTCCAATATTGACGGACTGACTGACTGACCCTTTATTGTTAAGGCCATGTTCGTCTCCTCTAAGTGGCCACAACAACTGTTCATTGCTCAAATCAATATTTATATTCATCTTTGATTGAGACAATTGAACGATCGCTAACGACTTCGGACCTTGGATGTTGAGTAAATGTTTGGTAATCTTGTCCGATTCATGGTATTGAGTGTCGAGAGTAAAGTTTTTTTTATCCAGTAATCAGTGCTGTCAACAGAAAATTTAAAGTTTTCGACTATCTGTAACAACTAGATTATAACAACATTATGACTTCAGATCTATCTATTCAAAAAAAATAATTCAATGTTTCGAATTTGATTTTATTTTGGTAGAACCACAAACAGTCTGATTATTTGGCTATTTTAACACGCGTATAACTAATATACATAGACAATCCATTGTTTTAATAGAAATCAGATGGAAAATAAACTAAGCAGGTCGTGTAATCTAGGTAAATAGTAAATAAATACTGTCGACATTAGTCACACGTTAGTATTACATCGCCTGGCAACATTCAGGCCACGATTGATAAACCCAACTCCGATTGCTACTGATAAAGTCTTTATACGGAACATTTTTATTACGATATTGGTTCCTGCACGTGGATTTACCCACTTATAGATTCAGATTTCTAGTATTTGATTAAGTTGAAATTAACTCGTCGAGTACCGGTTTTATAGACACAATTAAAGAACAATAGGTCGCGGTCACCGGTGACCGCTCGGTGTTTGACAGATTAATAGTCGTGTGAGGCGAAATATATTCAAAATGTATGACCTTTTTTCTGTGAGAATGTAAAATCATTATCAAATGTCCGGAATGTTAGACTGTTTGTTGTTACTGACAAAGAACACCCCGTCCTCATTCCAACGCTATGCTGCTGGCCATGGTAATGCCTAGTCACGCCTGTGACCAAAAATTTTGACATTGGTTCTATTGAATTTTTAAAACGGAAACCAAACCAGACATAGATTAAGATCGACAACTAATTTCGGATATTAAAGATAGGCTGGCATTGCACTTTCAACCGAAATCAAGAGATAGTCGTACCAGATATCTGATATCTGAACAGCTGGACATCCCGGTCAGCTAGGCAATACACCTGACCACCTACCGAAGCGTGTTCGACTGTCTTCGGAGTCAAGATCTTCAGAAATAAAGAAACAACGAAGAAAGAGTACGACTCAATTTAAACCAACAACCCCGCACTCACCAATCATTAATTTTCCACAACAAAATCGACAAAAAACCTAAAAAACCTACACAAAAATATCAGCTCACCGATAAAGTCTCATTACGAGCATTATTTTTTTAATTAAACACAGTGTGAGCTAATTAACATCAGTTTCGGTAATTAGGTGACCCCATAAATTAAGTGAACTGATATCGTTTAAAATTGCGCCCATTCATTAGTGTCGATATTAATGTATGGCAATTCCAGTCAATACTTCGATAAAAGCTCATGTAAATTGTATGTAATATTACATGTTGCTTGTGGGTACCGAATCTATTGTATAAAAATAAAACCCGTTTCCCGTTGTCACGCCATAACTTGAGAATAGCTGGACTGATTGACGATTTGACTGATTTTTTTTGTTGTTGTATTAGTTATTGTCCGGAGAAGGTTCTTATGATAGAAAAAAATCCTAAAAATCCTATGGGGACGGGAGAAAACGGGATTGCGCGTACGAAGTCGCGGGCAGAAGCTAGTGGCTTATATTACGAACAATAGGAATAACACACATAACGTATTTGGATCGCCGAGGGTAGGCAGACGTGAACACCCATTTATCAGTTTAAGTGAGTCCCATGTAATAGGGGGTAAGTCGATTTACATACACTGCGGAAATTTTTTAATATTGTGCTGTTAGAAACTTTAGTTCTTATAACATTTTGTTCGACACACAATCGTCCTAGAGACCCCCTTGTACTGCAGTCGCACTTGCCCTTTTAGACCAAAGAAGTAATCCTTACTTATTAATAATCATATAGTTATTATAGTTAGTACATAAATAATAGTAGCGTTACTATTACATTATCAATTATCAACAGTCTATAAGTGACCAAAGGCCTCTTCTCACACGGAGAGGGTTTGAGCATTAATCACCACGCTTGCTCGCATTGGGTTGGCAATTTCAAACTTATTTAGGAATTATTAGCTCAGGTTTCCTCACGTTGTTTTCCTTCACCGTTTGTCAGTAGTGTTTAAATAATATTAGAAAGTATATATAACTCAGAAAAAGTCACATTGGTACTTGTTGTTGGTAGGTTTCAAACCCGCGCCCTCGTGCATGAGAAGCGGGCGTCTTAACCCTCCGGGCCACCACGAATATTTACTATTACATTGCCTATTATTTCTTGGATGTAAAATAACATTTGTATGTTTCGTTAAACTTCAGACGTTTATTTAGGCAGATGTTAGTTAATGATATTCACTAGTTATGCGAAATGATATTTTCACTATTATTCCTATGGCTCTGGAGCCTATTTTAGGTAGGCATAATAGAAGGTTGCCACTGAAAATCGTGCTGCTGGCCGTGTGGTTACAGCAGCGTGGAATACATTGCTTGCCATCCTTATTTTGCTGTCGTAGTGGCCCTGAGGCTAAAGACGCCCGCTTCTCATGCATGAGAGTGCGGTTTCGAAACCAAAGTGACTTTTCCGAGTTATACGTACTTTCTAAGATTATCAAGACACTACTGACAAACGGTGAAGGAAAACATCGTGAGGAAGCCTGGGCTAATAATTTCTTTAGGCTGATGATGATGAATCCCTATTTTTGTCAAAGGCACCACACATCTGGAATCTCTCTGAATCTCCAACCCACCTGCCAAGGGTCGGGATTATGGTAAACCCTTTTATGAAAGGCCTAAAGTACAGCAGTAAAATGTTATGAGCTGTTGATGATGACGAAGTATTAATCTTTAACTTTTCAGGAACCATCGATGTTTGGGTGACGTTTATTGGTATCTGTTGCAGACGCTGACTTCCATAAGTTGCAGTGAAGCGAAGCAAAGTACTCACCATAGAAATCTGGTTGGTCCACTCGCTGTGGTATCGCCACGAGTTGGTGGTGTTATCCCAAACGTGCAGCCTGGACGGAAACCCCACTATCCGGTCGGGGAACTCACGCCACACGTCGAAACTGTAATACGAACAAATTGCACTTTTATTACTTCGGAATAATTAAAAAGAGTGCGTGGAGTAGGTACTCTGTTTTTAAAGGCCGTCGGGTACCTACTGCAGGTTTCAATGGGCGGCGCCGATCATTTACCATTAGGTCATTTGTTTGCTTGTTGCCATAATAAAGGAGTACCAAAGCTTTGTAACTAAAAACTAAATACAAAATAGTACAATATTAAGTTACAATCGTTAAGTAAATTATACTTCAATTAACACCTATCACATTTTAATGTTGTCGTAAAACTACTTGGATACTCGTCTGTACTACCCTAATCGCTTTATCAGTTTGACCGAAATAAATAAATAGTTTGCAAAACGAGTTCACTGTTCAAATCATATAACTAGTTCAAACGCTCCTTGAGTCCAAATTCACGTTAGAGTTTAAGCATCATTGAGATTTTCAATTCCGAAATTTTATTAGGTCAACGTATTGCTAGGATTTGAAGTTTGAAATTCCCAATAACAGCATTAGTCTGAAATTGCTTCCCTTGTTCAACAATAGGTTCACTCCTAAGGACTAACAACATTATTGGATATTCATTCTATGCTATTACTCTACTATATTCTCTATTTACTTATTAAGTTTACCAAATCTAACAGTAAATAAATATAACATTAAAATAAAAGCAACAGTCCAAAAATTCAAGCAATTCATATTATTATTTCCAATACATTTCTCACAAACACCGCCACAAAGAGGTAGATACAGTCGAAATTACTATCACACCGTCGACAGCCTAGTATTTCAACCGCAATACGAGGTATTTCCAAATAGTTTACGAAAAAACGAATGCTAGAGGTCTCTAGCTATCCATATAAACAGGGAGGAAGGAATTGACTATAAAACTGTGTCATTTCCTACGCCAGTCACCCACCATTTCATTTCGTTGCGGCTTCCACGACTTTTACTTGGTTGAATAAAACCGTGAAACTTCGAGCTTCCTCATTGAAGCGCACTAAATATTCAGACTTAGAAATGCATTAGAAAAGGAAGCCATTTCATTTATCTAACGTTTTGTGTGAAAATTATTCTTACAGACTTGCTTGACTATATTGTAACATTTCTAGCGGCTGATGACAGTCGCTCTGTTTAAAATATGTTCTTAATATTAAGCCGATTTTCGTTAGCACTCATACTCTAAGTACATACTGCCGATGTAATTTAAAAAGCCAGAAGATACGAAGATGTGAATTCTAATTACAAAAACTGCAAATCATGAAGTAAGAAGCCGATCATAAGTTCTAGGAATACCACTATTGATAGTTCCGACAGAAAGCAATAATACCAATAAGAAATCGGACGTCACTGCATTATAACAACAATTAATTATAATCGTAATACGTCAGTAGGTAAGTTATCATTATAAATCAATACAAATAATTGTTGCAATTGATAAGCAGATATCGTTTTTGTTGTTCATATGACATTCAACCTTTACGAAACAATTTTAAAGTCTATATTAATAATAGTTTGCCAAGACATTAAGATTTAGTATTAAGAAATCGTAGACATAGACTTGATGGTGATATTTCAGTATATTTTAGTACAATCGTTTACGAAATACACATTTCCAACATAAACGTGTTCACGACAGTCGTAGATTAAAATGAATGAAGTCTCGTCAGACAATGGAAACCGACTGGATGAAATATCATTTACTTTTCTTAGAAAACATTATAATCATTCTCCTTAAATCGCCGAGACTGGGGCATTATGTCTATATAATTCAGAGTTTATTTCGGCTTTACTTGAGAACGATTCAATCTTGGACTTGGAGCTTTAGTCGAGTTAGACACGACCTTAAAATCCTCGTGATAAGATCGAATATTTTATCAGCAGTGTTCGTTAAGAATGTATTACTCTTGTAATTTATCGATGTTTAGCATCGTACACATGGCGAAACATTCACAAGTACATCTTAATAATGTAGATTGCAAAGTTCCAACCAAACAACCATATTCAAAGAGCTCACGTTGGCGTGACGAGATGACTTTTTATCCAGCATAAAGCAAAATAAGCAGGAAGAATTTCATCTAAACAGTACAGAGGATCATAGGGAGAAAAGCAAAAATATAGAATATATCTACTTAACATTCCGAGCGAGTGAAAGCGCCTTAGAGAAAGGGGTTACTACACAGGCGGTGTGGGTTATGTGACATGACGTTATTACATAACTCCCTAAGTTTTGTCGTCACAGTAAAGATGCCTACATTTACGGAAAAGCAGAGGTAAGTACCGGCAAAGTTCGCTGTACTATATTCTGCTAATAAAGTGCTTTGAACAGCTAGACGTTTCAGCCTACATATTTAATTTATTTTAGTAGCAACGACTCCTTTATGCTTTTTGTTTTATATTACTTATATTTTACTGCCTCGTTGGTAGTAAGTGGTCGCAAATGGGACGCAAATATCCAAACTGGGATATTTTATGCGTTTTTCGATTTGTGAATTCTTAGTAGTATCGAGTCTAGATAATATGTTATGTTTATAGGCCGGTTTATGGCGACCAGTTGGTAATTTACATATGGAATTACTACTTAATAAAACAGACAAGAGCAGCGTATTACATATTCTACAAAAACAGCCTATATCTTTGCGAAAAATAGCGGCATTTAGACTACATCAAAAATTTTATCAGTTCAATTCGTTCGTATCAAGTTTTATAATTTTTTACGATGCGGTTGGCGCGTGTTACACTGGTACCAGGAATGTCTTCAAAACTTTAACTAAGTTCAGAACGAGATAGCGACATACATCTGAACTTACATAACTTAGCATCGCGTCTGTTCCCATTCCCTTCTAAGCAGATGCATGAACTTATTATTCGTGGTTATATTTCATACATATTATGAGTATGGAACTAATAATGAATCTCTAGATTCATGGACTTTGTTGTTACTGGAATTTCCATGAGCTTCGCGTCACACTTTACATATTATCTATATAATATTTTGAAATGAAAAAACAGAACGCTATATGTTTCGTCTTTCGTAATTAGAGTACAACACAAATAAAACTTTTCTAGTCTCTCTACCAGCGGACTTTTCGAAAAAGCAGCTCCTTTTTCGCACGAGTAATTTTTCTTCTGGTCTGATTTTCTACTCTTACTTACTTTTCTCCACACCAACTGTTCAAACTACATAACAACACAGCAAAAAAAGAATTACCCAATTTAAAGCCCTCGTTGCGTTTACAAAAATTTTGGCTACAGCTTATAACAACTCACCGACGAAAAAGTCCCTATATTGTGTCAGTTTAATTAAGACTACAGGTTCCAGGTCAACCCTTTCCAGACTTTCCCTTTATTCATCATTGACAACGTAACACCTCTATCATCCCCTTCGATTGATTTAATGACCGATTGGCATCCAAAACTGTCCCTAAACTTGTCACATACCGTATATCAGGTTTATTGGCTACAAAGGTAAGCTCTGATAAGTTAGAACAGGGATTACAGCTGATTTCTGGGGCCTTCCTATTGGCATATATATTTGATTTGTTTTTCTGGAATCAATGAACAATAACTCCTATCTTTATACGTATTGAGACAATTTTGCTTTGCTTTGTAGAAAAGTCTAACTCCTTCAAGATCTAAAAGTTGTTCCAGAATGCACAATAGAGAAACTTCACTGCAGAATGTCCAACTTACTGGAAACGTCGTAGATACGTTAAACATTCTTAACGAAAAAGAATAACTTTTTCAAGTCATTATGATACATCGAAAAGTTCTCCAGAAACCACATTAAGTTTAATAATAGTCCCTTACAATATGGGGGACACGCCCCTGCATGCCCCATATACCAACTAATATGTGTGACTTCAGACCATTACTTTAAAAATTTTCATTCAAAAAATCAATAACATTTTTTTCTACTACGGGAACCAAAGTTATTTTAAAGTCCACAACCAAACGACTATCCAAAACAGTCTACAAAGTCTAAAATAAACTAAATTTTCAACAAATAACTTGGAATATTGATCTATGCTGATTTCGTTCTTATAGTTAACCGCACATCGAATCTATTAGTTTTAATTCATATTCATGAATCCTTTAGAACTTTCCCAATAGCTATCTAGATCGATGCTAATATTGTTACAAAAGTATTGTTATATCCACTTTCAAATTTTTGTGCATTTCTATTGTTAGAATGGCTAATGACTTGTTTGGTAAGGAGTGATAAAGATGTCTGACAACTGCGTTACCACACCGACTCTAACGCGTATATGTATCTTAGAGATTTTTCGAAGAAGTTTAAGCTCAAGTGTTGTAAATTCTTTGAGCAGAATATTTTTTACTACACAGCCCCTTCATTTGTCATGCATGGTAATCAGGTTACCTCTATTATATGAAACGGAAAACACAATTAGTGGAAAGTGGTAGTATTTTATTAACACTTTTACTAACTCCTGGCTGAGTAGCAGGAGTCATGCTACCGGTAATAACACAGGCAACGACCGGCATCCACACCTTTCACAATTAGCTAAGTCGAAAATATTGTACACTTTGTACATAGAATTCCTTTCTCCACAATAGCCAATCAAGACATAACACGTAATAACAAAAATGGAACATTTCTAGAATTTACTGTATCAAATATTACTCGATACGAAAAACTTTTCACGGAGCCTCTGAGTAAAATAATAAGTAGGAAAGTTCTGTTAATTAAACTAAGACCCTCCAGATTACATGACGTAACGTCTGGAGATAAAATCCCTCGCGTCATAAGTTGATGGCCGACAATACTGTACACTTACCAACTGACTTAAGCAAGCTATAAATTGATTAAACACTTATAAATAATGTAATTAGCGAGAATTATTTCCCATGAGAGTTATTGGGCCGAGCAATGAGACTGTGCCAATTAAATATTCAGCGCATACCTACTTCTGAGGCGGATCGAGTTTGAGAAAATTAAGCGTTTCGATCTGTAGATTATTATCATTCAGTAACTGTTCGGAGGG